ACAGGGGTGTTCTCAGTGCTCCTGGGTTCAGAGAGGCTGCTCTGGTGCTGAGGTGAAGTCAGATGGGAAGGTGCCTCCAAAAGGCTTTGTGACCTCCTACAGCTGCCATGGCATGGTGACACTGGGGCACATTTCCACCAGAAATCAACCTGAAAAGTTGGGCAGTACCAGGGATATTGAGACAGGAGGCATTCAGGAGGAGGCACATGCTGGCAATGATCTTTCCTGGGGCAATATAAAAGAGTAATCAATTAGTATTTTTTGTGATGTTCAAGGTTTGAGAAGTACTCTGAAATATTCTGTACTAACAGATTGCAGTGCTCCATGTTGCCTGCTTGGCTTATTTTTAAAAACTTCTGAAATGAATGAAGTGCTAATGGGAATAGATGTTTCATACATGGTGAGCTTTCTGGACTATGATGGGAAAGCTCTGATTTTCTTTCTGAATGAAATAGGTACTTAAATCTAGGTTTTTATACTTGCTGGTTTAGAGACAGGATGAACAATTTTCTGGTTTATGGACTGCAGTTATTTAAGTACTTAAGTTAAAGCTCTTGGCATAGTTTTTAATCCCTTTGGGAAAGTACTAATACCAAAATTCTTTAATTCCACATATATGCATGAATAAAAGCTTCAGAGCCATGGGTAGCCCTGCAGCTTGGTGGTGGCAGGAGAGTTTTGGACTGGTTGGGGTGCCTGTTATTGTTCATGACTTCTGAGCAAAGGGCAGTCCAGGAAGAAAATCTGCGGGTTTTTTTAGAGTGTTAAGGTGTTTCAAGGCGTTAAGGTGTTTTAAGTGTTTCATGTGGCATCAATGACAGCAATGTCCCAGATTTACTGGGAGGGTAAAGGTAGAATGATGCCAGTGCCCTGGTCTCACCCTGCAGTAGCAGTAGACTTGTGGTTCCTCAGAACCTTTCTTGCTGCTTACAGCTGCACTGGGGCTCTCATCACAGGTCTGGGCTTGGCTTTCATATTTTAGTTGCTCCTTCCCCTGCCTCCACATCTACAACACCTTCGGGTGGACAACGGGTCCATTGGTGCTCTGCAGCCCTCCTGGGGTGCAGAGATAAAGGGAAGTATCCCAGGGATTGAACTCTCTCCCTTCCTGTGTCACAGTGGTGCTGGTGCTGGCCCACCAAGGCAGTGGCATGCCACTGCTGAGGCTGCTCAGTACAGATGCAGCCTCTGGACAGCCTGAGGGATTCATCTGGGTGGGAGGAGCCCACTGACACCCTGGAGTGCTGCTGGAGGGCACTGGGACAGTGTGCTCTATTCTCGCAAGCACCAGCCCAGGCATTTCATGTAAATAAATTAATTCTCTTCAAAAGTGTAATCACTAAATATTCTTTCTTGCTGTCCCCAAGATTTGCAGAGCTTTGTTGCAGCATTTGTCATGTTTGATATTTCATCTTTTTCAGTTTTTAAGCTTGAAGAAGTTGAAAATAGAGCAGGACAGCAGGTGGCTGCATCACAGAAAGTCTCATCATTCCTCTTTCTCCCAACACAATTTCTTGGTTATTTATTATTTTTCTCAGTTTAAATGTCTTTACACTTACAGCATGATCTGGGGCAGCCATCCCATCAACTCAAACGTGGGTATTTGGGCAGTTCCTGAATGGGAATGGAAGATGGTGTTCCAGACCCCTGTGTGTGAGTGGGTCTTTGTGCACTGATGTTCCCCCAGCTGTTTAAAGGATACATATTTGTACCTTGTAAGCAAAACTCTCTTTATTGATTAATTGAACTGGCAGAGTGACTTATTGTCATAGAGGCACTAAAGACAGGAAGGGCACAACATAATTTTTAGATTGGCTATAATTCAGAGATATTGCTTATGTTATTGTGTCTTGACAAGACATTTAAAAAAAAATTTCTCTAAGCTGAGGTGCCAGCTATGGAGACAGATATGTGATCACATCATTGCTGTTAGAAATACTGAGAAAAATATTCCAGAATCCTCCAGGCTAGACTGAGCATGTGTGCCTTGGCTCCAGGAGGGTGGTGGTTATGCAGAGCCTATGGGTCCTTGAGTGGTGGGGAGGGGCTGCTCTGAGTGTCCCTCTCCAAGGGAGAGGATAGTTTTGGGTGCTGAGCAGGGGACCTGTGAGGGGCTTGGGACACTGGTGGTGTGTGAATCCTGGCTGAAACAGCTGTTTCTGTCCAGGTAATGCACGGATTTCCCTTTGGGAGTGATGGCTAAAGTCACTCACTGTTTGGATGACAGCTGTGAAGGTAAAGATGTTTGTTTCTGGGTGTCCACTTCTCCAGGCCCCTCCACTGACATTTGGTGAAAGAGCCTTGGTGGTCCTGGAGTCTGATAGCTCTGGAGGGTGGGAACCCTGCAGGACACAGCTGTGGCAATTCTCTCCCAGCCCCTCAGTAGCCAGGAGAGTAGGCAGCCTGCCAGGCTTGTGTGGCCTTTTTAGCAGCAATTAGAGAAAATATCCTGGCTTCTAGGGGACAGAAGAGGGAAAGGGCTCTTTCAGAGACTTTTGTGAAGTCAGTCCCTAATGGGATCAGACATCCCTGGGCAAGTTCAAGGACTTCTCTACCTAGCTGGCTTCTCTAGCTCCATGGCAGTGTACCAAGAAACTTTTTCACTTAAAGGCACTCCCAAGCAATGAGAAACCTGGAGTGTGACATCCTCATTTGCTGAGGTGTGCTCTTCCCCTTTTGCCTCTGCAGTTCTGGCCCCAGGTTTCTGTGGCAGCAGTGATGTACAAAAAGAGCACAGTGGCTAAGACAGAAATTGCCTGCAGCTTTGCCTGTCCTTGCCTTTGTAAAATGAATTTGGAGACTTCCAGTAGAGATCATGGTATGTTGTATCCACAAACCCTGGCCTGAATGCTGAAATCATTATCAGTACAGACATTCAGCAAAGAAGATAAAACATTATCTGTACTTTGCAAAAGTAGTTACTGGCTGCATGTAGACTTAGTATGTCTAAAAAGTAGCCACTGGCGGTTTCTGGAGGACAAGGGAGGTGATTTGGGCTTCAGTGCAAGTTGTTGGGTATGTCCTTACATTTGTATGACACCCAGGAGTGGGTTAATGACTTGGTGTGTGACTGGTCATGATACCTCTTAGAAGAGGTGTCTCATGCTGAGCTGCTGATACACATCAGAGGTTGAGAAATGCCAAATGGTGACAGAGGGCAAAAGAAAAAGGGAAAAAGAGGAAGAAAAGTTCTGAGGAACAGAAGGAGAAAATGGGGAACGAAAGATTTGATTTACTGAATGGCACCAGCACTTATCTAAGAGGTAGGATTAAGAACCAGTGGGAAGCTGAGGAGGAAAAGGAGATTCAGAATAAGTCTGGTGGTGATAAGAGTACATGGGATGTAGAGAGGGCTAAGCATGAGATGTTTGTGTTTAGCATAAATGGCACAAATCAGATGACATCTCATCTTTGATGGAGATGAGAAGGTTTTGGTAATGGTGGCTGGCTGCACATTCAGATGAAAGTTATCAGGGAAGAAATGGGTCCGTATTTGAACTCCTGCATCAGTTCCTAGCAGGCAGCTATCCACACTGGGGCTAAATTGTTGGCAGTCTAATTACTGAGACCATGGAATAAGTGGATATATGGGCTACAAATGCCTCTCCTGTTTAGGGGAGCACAGTGAAGTGAAACCAGTGCAACCTATGCTCTGTTGTAACTAAATGAAGAGTGCTGTCTGTCCAGCAGCTTTCTGGAAGAAAAGATGACATCTTTGGTGAGATCTTGTGGGAGCTTTTAAATTTCCTGGCTTTTTTATTTAATTTGTTTGAAGGTCTGCTCTTCCAGGCTCTGCAGTTTGTGTGAACAGCCTAAGGCAGAGAAGTACCTGGAGAAGTAGTGAGCTCCAGAACCCATTTAAGCACATTTGCTTAAGAAAAGGGCTGCACTGAAATCTGTCTGTGGTGTTTTTTGTCAAAACTCCTGCCCAAATGTACATTGGTGATCACAGGCTGGCAGGTTTACTTACACTGTTCCACTGCAGTTTGGAGCAGAGAATCTGCATCAAAGAATTGATGTAGCATAGGTATGAAAAAGAGATATTAAAAGGTGTCATAATAACAACAGTGCAATGCAAATGTTGTACTACTATGTTTAGAAGACAAAAGACATGTTACTAACAAAAAGTTAGACTGGATGAAGCCATATGGCTTCAGCACACTTCCCTGTGGTACCACTGGGTCTGAACCAGGCACACACCCAGATTTCCAACCATGAAAATAGTGGCTATTTAAGCAACATCAGTTTTTGAGTATTGAAGATGCTTCATATTTTCTATGTGTTTACTGTAATGCAAAATTATTTTATTAGTTCAGCTGGTTGAAATTTTCTCCGGGGAATATAAATCTGAAAAAACAAGATTCTGCAGTTGTCTCAGGCTGTATGAAGGCAAATTATCATTTTTTGAAGAAAATTATATTTTAAGGATATAGGGAGTACTTATATTTAAAAATTTCATATTTGTGTGAAAAATATTGCTTGTTTTCCAGGTAGACATCTTACAGTGTCTAGAGTCTATAAACCGATGATTTATTTTCCCTAACTGCAGGTAAGGAACATTTAATGATGAGTGGATTTGGTCCCAAAAGAAGCTGTCTGTTTACCAACATTTTTACACCATTATGATGTTTTTTGAGACTTTTTTTCTGTAAAATAAATTGAATATGTAATTATGCCCCCTTCACAGAGCTTGTCAACAAAACCTTTCTAGGGCTAGTTATAACTGCTCAATATCTGAGGTAAATATGGGTTATGCTCAGGTTAATTCTGTATATGTGGTGTGCTCTCAGAAGTTGTTTCTCACTGCTGGGAGTCTGGCCACCCTGGTCCTGTGTCTCCTGGGGTTGGAAGGGGAATAAGAATTTAGGCTTCTCCAACTGGAAGAGGTTTTCCTGTGTCTGTGTCACCTCATAAACTTGATTGTTTCTCAGGGTAACGCTGAGGGCTGTTACTCAAAATTAACACAAACTGTATACAATTGAAAAAATGAAAGATTTTTGGATATATATTTTATTTGACAGTGGTTTAGAATATCATACAGTAAACAAGATTTCTGTAAAAGTTAATTTATCCATAGTGGTGCGTTTCATAAAAATAGTTGCTCACTTACAGCCTTTCTGTGACTATTAATACATGGAATTATATTTATAGAGATAGAGCTGTACAAGGTAAATTCACAGCTAACACTACACAGAAATATTATTTGGAATGGGGTTTAGATGATGTGCTGTCTTCACAGGTTATCAATTACAGCCGCATAAAGCAATTACTGCACAAGGAGTAGCTGTGAACTGTGCAAATTAGAGTTTATGCAAGCATAATCTCAACTGTTTTTCAGATTTCATTGTTTGCTTTCTTTATACATAAAAATAAGATACCGGGACGTGCATCTACACTACAGAAGCATTGTCCAAAATCAGATTCAATAAATTAATGGCAAATTATATTGGATTCTAGTTCAGGGGATAAAGATTTTTTTTTCCATTAAATAAGAGTTTTATAAACAGCTACATGGATTTGTGCTTTTTTAGAAATTATAAATGGATTTTTCTTTCTAAAAAAAAATGTTTGAAAGCTGCAAAATCCTTGACTTGAGGCTTTTCAAATAATTGGACAGGAAGAAACATGTCTATAAATTTCTCAGTCCAGTGCAATGTTTGAGACATACATTAATGTGCTAATTTCTTGGAACAAAGCCAATCTCAATCTAGTTTTTCAGCAGAGCATGTGAGGAACTAAGATTGCTAGTGAACAATAATTTTAAATACAAATTTTTGACAGTACTTAGCTTTATGATTTTTTTTAATTACCAATGTATTATTGCCCAGGATTTTGTTTTAATTTTGACAGACGAATAAGCATATGCACATTTACACAGACACACACACATTTTGAAACAGGATTATGACTGGTTGACTGAACTCGGAGTTATTTCCTGTGAAGGCAGACTGGAATGTTTACCTGGCACTTAAGGCTTAAAATTCAAAACAGAGAAGCAAGAAAGATAAAAACAAAAAGAAAAAAAATGGAGATAGGGAAAAAAATGGTAAAATGGAAATCATTTTAAAAATGGAAAAATACTGAATTTACTGAATGAGGACACCAACAACTGTGTTTCAGAAAGCAGTCTAATTATTGTTGACGTGTGCCTGAAAGGCACCTGCTCTGCCAAACTGAGGGGATGAGAGATGAGAGTGTCCTAAGTAAATGTGGATAGGTATGAAACATAGCACTGTTGATAAGTGATGCTATCATCTTCTGCAGGAAGGAAAGGCCTTTCCTTAAGGAAACTGCAGCTTTTTCTCTGTAGCACTCTTCCTTTCGTTGCAAGGGCCTTGCAGATGCCTGGGGTTTGAGCCTGACCAATTGGTTTGTGTGCTACCTCGCAGGACTTGGGGAACCTGTAATAAATCACTTTTGATAATAATTTGCAAATACAACTCCACCTTAACTCCTTTCCAATGTACAGAAACATGGTTTGTTCACAAAAATGGCAGTAGAAATGGTATCACAGAAACTAATCCACTGGATTCCCCACTCCTCCCGTAGCGCCCAGTGAACTATGCTACAGGGTACCACGTGGACTATCCCAAAGCGTTAACAGTGGAGATGTGTCATGGGTGTACAGTTCCAAACGATGCTTTAAAGAAACCCTTTAACCCCTGTCTAGATATGTCGAGAACAATTTATTTACAACATTTTAGCTCCATGAAAAGATCCTCTCTCGGTTTCAGCTTGCTCCGTGCAGTTTTATTTAAGGCGATGTTCCAGTTTGTGATTGCTCTAACTTGTTCCAGTTTCTTGATATAAAGTTTGAATGAAATCCAAGTCCTTCATGCAGTGGGAAAAAAATGCTAAAGCTACACTGCACTATCCTTCTCTGATGTACTGTCCTTCATATTGTTTTGGTTTCTTCCATAGCTGCCAAAGTCCCTAAAATGGAACTGGGACTTTAGGGTCGATTTTAAATCTCTGTGTTGACTTTATGCTTTTGAACTTATTAGATACTGTGCACATTGTCATGGAATTACACACTAATGTTTTCATTCCTCAATGCTTTGTGTATATGTGTGATAGTTAAAATAAATTAAAACAAACCAATGTGAGACAAAAACTAAGAAGAATGTTCTGCGTCAGTTTGAGACAGTTAGAGGGCAACAGTCCCTTGCTTATCTGCTCATGGCAGAAGTACCAGACTTCAGGACACTCGGTAGCTTGTCTGAGCCAGGGATTTTCCACGGCCCTGGAGAGACCGTTGCCTTTCGAACTGCGGTGTTGGTGCTGCGAGTGCTAATGGAGTGGAGATGTCCCTTCCTGGGGAACTCGCTGGGTTTCCCATCAGGGTCCCTCTGGCTGTGGTCCATATCACTTCCAGGTGAGCCGCAGCGGTTGCTACTGTATGTCTTGGTAGCTCCTGTATCGATCTTGACATGGTCAGGTGCTGCAGCTGACTTCTTCTCACTGGTGTTTGTGGATCTGTGATCTTCTTTTTTGCTAAGAGATCCTCCTCTCTTGCTTTCTGGCTTCCTCAGCCTCCCAAACTGTTCATCACTGGTTCCAGCACACATGTGCTCTCTTGCACCAGCCTCGATCATAACACTGTGTCCCACCACTTTGCTGTCTGAGGTGGGCCTGCCACCATCAGTGGTCTTATTTTTGCCTTCTGAATATCCTTTCCAAGAAGCCTCTTCGTGCTTTGACCTGTCTACCTTTTTAGGACTTGCTGACCTTTCTCTTTGTTCTCCTAACCTTTTCTTTTTGTGACCGTTCACCGAAAGCTCCTTTGGTTTCCTTACATCGTGTTCCCTCTTGATATCCCATGTTGGCTCTGGGCTTATCTGGTGAGAAGGGTCAGAGGGTGGGGCTATGTGTGATGAAGATAATGGTGAGATTATGTCGTCGAGGGAAAGAGCTACTTCCGGCAGACCTGGGGAGGTGGCAGAGGGAGCACTCCAGGAGTTTGGTTCGTCTGTTTTAACAACAAAGAGAAGAGAGTTAAGGGCGTAGCAGCACAGAGTGTATTGCACAGGCACATGTATTGGGAGCAACACTGATACCCGAACCATGTACCAGCCTTAAACCCCTCTGTTTCAGGTGAGGTGAAACTCCCTCAATTCTGGAAACCAGTAGGGAGAAAACCAAAAATAATTTCTCCACCAAAAAAAAATTAAAAAAAAAAAGTACAGGAGACACAAGAACCACAAAGCTGTTAACTGCAAATGCTAGAAACCTTGGTCTTTTTTTTATACAGATTCTGCTTTCCTCTGCCTATGTTAAATTATTCTTAAAATAATAAAGGCACATGCTCATGAAATCAAATAGCTTCTTTTGTAGCTGTATAATGGATTTCTTAGCTGGGCAATATCAGTGCTGTCTCTGAGGACAAATGAGAAGGACTTTCTGCCATCTATTAAACATGTCCCTACAAGCATATAATAATTGACAAGAATTTGTAGCTTAGATAAGGTCATCATTGAATTCTGTCTCATATTTTTTCTGAACAGATATAGTATTGCAGTGTTTATGGCCCCACAATTCTTACAGGGTACTTACACAGCTCTGCCTTTATATCACAGTGTCAGCTGCTGAGTCTCCTGGTTGTGCATTTTGAATTTCTCCTGGTTACTTAGCCTCAACACAATATGGTTGGATTGTGCAGATCCTGTTTAATTTAGCTAAATAAATGTCTCCTTTGCTGATTCACGATGATTTTCCTAATCCAAACCAGAATATTCTGGGATGCCTTTCTCTTGCATATACATCCTCATTTCTTTTGATTAACCTTCTGGCAGAAAACAAATTCATCGTGATTAATGACAGCATGGCTCCTATTCTTACCCGTCTACTTAGAGGTTAGAGAAATCACTGAACTTGGCTAATGTCATTCCCTATTTAGCTCCATTGCCTGGCTTTGAACAGTATGAGGAATAATCTGTCAGAGATGAAGGACTGTCTCAGGAATCCATGGAAACGAGGTAGAACTTGTGGCGAGAGCTGCATATTTTATGGGGGAGAAAATGTAACCTTCTAGCTAAAAAACGAGTGTGGACTTCTTCAGGTCAGGACTAATATCTCTCAGTGATATCAACTGCCCTTTAAAAAAGTAACATGCATTTTTCTCAGTGCTATAGCTGCTTTCAAATTATCATGGAGATACACATTGTCTCGAAAAATGCAGTAGATTCTACTGCCCAGCCTGGGATATGCAGCTTGCTTGACTAAGACAGCACTGTTAAGTTAATAGCTGTATTGAGTGATTGCTGTCTTGCAGATAAAAATAGGAGAGACAATAGTGAGGTGGGTGACGTAAAGGGAGGGAGCAGCACAGTTAGCTGAGGAGCTATTTATTTTCCCAGATGGTGTTTGTCATATGCTTTTGCATAATGAGCATATGTGTGGAGAGGATTAGCATTTGAGAGGGGTAGAAAGTACAAGTTCTGTGTAAGACAAATAAACACTGAGCTGGGAATCTAAATGGGCTGAGGGTCTCAACTGAATTTAAAAAAAAAAGAAATCACACTTTCTTACCCTCCAGTTAAGGGTGACTAATGTACCATCTGCTCCCAGCTTGGCACTCTAGCAAGAAAAAATAAGAGGAAGACTCGTGCATGTAGAGTGATCAGCTCCTAGGAGCCTGCCTACAAAAAGCATTGACTTTGATGGGCTTGTTCTTTACTTTTGTTCTGCACCACCAGCCTGGTACAGGACCACAACATGTGCCTGATGGGGGAAGCACAGACCCCACCCTGGCTCTTCTTCAATCTGAAATCCAGGGGGTCTCGTATTTAATACTTGAGCCAGGAACCGTGTACAGAGTCCAAATCACTAAAACTATCCTGGGACTCAGCATAAAGCTGCCTATGTGCACCAGCAAGGTACCTGAGCCAACTCTGAAGAAGCCACCTTGAGCTTTGGAGAATTAAGTTTATACTTTTCATGGCATTGTCACTCCTACCCAGGGTAGAGGTGGTGCCAAGGGTTGGACCAACGTATTTGTCTGAACTACAATCTTCTTTCCTAGTTGTCCATGAGATGTTTTTCACAGTTTTTCAGTGGCAGTGAAGAGCAGTGGGCCATTATCCAATCTTGTGTTAGGCTGTGAGAAATAGCCTGTTACTTTGGGTAGTATCAGCTGCACACCAGTAAAAACACCAAACAGCCGGGAGCAGCAAGATGCTTTTGGGTAACAAGACTGCCGCTATGTGGAAAATGTACCGCTATGCTCAAATCAGCTGTTTCTCCTCCAGGAGGACAAACCAGGGGGGCACCATTCAAAATCAAGGTAGCAAACACATCTTGTGGCTCCTCTGAGGCACAAAGGATAATATGATACCAGTTATTTGTGGGATGCTCTGGAGAGGAGACCTGGGGGTTAGTGGCCTACTGCTTTATTCCCTGGAGATGACAAAATTTCTCCTACTTTATTTTTTAAAGGGGATGAAAAAACAACCAAATGTTGTAGTGAGGAATGATAATGGATTAGAATATACTTCAACAAAAGTGAATCAGCCTATCTCTTACATATACTGATACATAAGTATAGGTGTCTATAAACTGGCACATGCCATATTATATGCATTACTGGATTTTATCTCTTCCCCAGAAAACCCTAAGTAAAAAACAACTTGACCAACTAAGCAAGAAAACATGTAGCCACAGCTTTTTAAGTTTGGCTGTGGGACAATCCCAGGTGGGTCACTGGCTGTACTATGTTCAAAATACTTCCTGGGAAGACACCTATATATAGGTTGTGTTTCCAGTGGTTATGGAACAATGGTGCCATGTAATAAAACTATCATTTATATTTTTTGGCAATATAACACTTGCAAGTAAGAAGAAAATTACTTTCTTTTAGGTTTAAGTACCATCAGTCTGTGACAGCCAAACCCAGCCTAAGCTGCTTTTCTTTTGAATGAAATGACATTATATAGAAAGTTGTCCTCAGCCTTGGTAGACATTAATGTCAATAAGCCATTGTTGCAATATGTCACTGGCTAGTGAGGAGAATACTCATGTGAGGGTATTGTAGGAAACTTCCCTCTAATGTCTGAACATCATGGAAAAATACAAAAATTACTAGAGTAGAGCAAAGTGCAGGAATGTAAGTAATTTGTTGCTCAGAAGAAAAACCTTTTAAAGAGCTGTGTTCAAGATGTAAGGGCTCATTTGGACTTGTTCAACCAGCACTAAAATGATTGCTACTCCATAACAAATATAAACAGGAGAAAAATATAAAATTTTATCCTGCAGAGCAGTTAAACTAGTAATTTATTTTCATGATTATACTCAGTTTCTAGCTACCTTTTTGAGAGAGTTATTAATATTTCTGAATATTATTTTTCTGTTGGTCTAAGGCTTTTTATAAAATCTTTATGTTAATTGGGAACATAACCTACTTTTACTGTCTGTTATTCTATATCTCAAAGCATTTTGTAAACATAATAAACCAGAGACAGAGCACTGGTTTTACTTTTTTCTTCCTTCACCTCTGGGAGGAACTGTAAGCAGTATTTGTTTAACAGAGCATGAACTACTAATGCCCAAACAACTTGCAAGCAGAAGAGAAGAATATTGCACTCAATTGCAACTGCTGGAGAGATTTAGGAACAGTATAGTTTTAAACTTGCTTCTGACTTTGTGACCACTGATAAAATCCTTACTGTGAGAGAAATTGCTTTTCAAAAGTATACCTCTCACTGAACACTAATAGATGCCTGCCTTCCTTCTTTGAAGGGTGAAAATCTCCCTTGACCTACTAATTTAGACAAGACAAATGAGCTGGGAGCAGCACTATAATCTGTCACTGTGATGGCATTACATTTGGTGTAATTTAGTAGGTGTTTACTGGGTGGCTTTTAGTTTCCACAAGTTACTGTGCCACAAGTTGGTGGCACATCTCCATGGGATGTATAAGAATTACTCACCTACGACTGGCTTCACTCACTCACAGGCAAAGGAGTAAATTGTTAACTGAGTAAGAGCCACCACAGACACAGGATCTTCAGTGTGGGAGGACAAGTGGGAGATGAACACAGCCATTTTAGGGGAAGAGTGACACAGGGAAAACATCAGGAGCAGAAGTGTTCTGTTTAAAGGTTTTTTTATTTGATGTAGAGCTGCCACATACATGAATTGTTTGTTTTGGTCTGTCAGCTCTCACACATTCAATGGAGTGGAAATGAGGATACTACTCTCATGAGTCTATTTGATGCTGTCTTAACTGTTCTACCTGGATCCAGTGCTTTCTGATGGCTGAACCGTGAGAAAAAGAACCCTGGCTTTAGTCCTAATAGAGAGGTGAGCTCTGTCCATGGACCTCTGATTTGTGGCTAGGTTCTCCCTTAGGATCAAAATATTTTAGGTAATTGTTTAGTAATTTAAGAAGGACATGTGATTTTTCATCAGATATAATTATCCATAAAGTACTAATATTAATATTTTGAATATTTAGTAGTAAGAGTAGAAATTACATCACATTTTATTACTTAAGTACAATAAAATCTCAAGGCCTTTTTAATTTTGAAATTATATTAATAATATACAATATATTAAAGCTTTGAACACTTTCATTAGTCTGAATGAAGTGTTTTCTGAAATGTCTAAGCAGCTGTTCTCATATCTTCCCAGAATTATTTTCCTAGGGAATCAAAGAGGGTTTGATTGAATAAAAAATATGTGTTTTATTCTTCCCCCTATCTTTTTGTCTGAAATTATGTATTGCCAGGAGGTGGCAAGCAGTTCTTACAGATGCTGCTAATAACAAAAATGAGACAAACTGTCCCCTGGTGAGTATCCACTTATGTTGGCAGTGCTACACCCGGAATGCATTTGGGTCTTTCTCATTATAGCTTGACATGTCTTTGATGTTCCTGATTGCATTGGTCTCCTGAAGCTTTTCTTTAATGCTCTCTAAGGAGGGATATTTCAGAATATATAAAAAATCTTTAATCTTTTATCCTGACACTTCCA